TTCCAGGGTGGTTTGATGGCTAAATTATGCCATCAAGGGCCTAGAGTCCCTCCATCGATTCCCTCCATAGGCCTCAGTATGTTGGACTGCTCCTGATTCATCCCTAAAGCTAGGAAGGGCTTTCTTTCTCTGAGCCTCTTTCTGCCTGATTGAAAATTGAGGTTCTGAATGTCAAAGATAGGAGGGAATAGATGTGGGTTTAGGAACCAGCCAAGCTCCCCACACCAGCAGGCCCATCTCCCCCAGACAAAGGACAGGGTTCAAGCCACGATAACAGTATCTCCCTGGACCCCCCTGAATCCTGAGATACTCCCTGGTGACTGGGTTCCTCGTGACCCAAGACATGGATTCGAGTGCAGGTAGGTCACCGGAAGTGATTCCAGATAACTGTGGTGGAGGATCACGTGCGAGAGACAGGGCAGGGGAATACCTGCACCTTGAGAAACCAGCAGCCACTGTGGGCAACCTGAGTCCAGTCCTCATGGGGACTCGGAGCCAGTGAGGAGCATGTGCCTGAGAGTCACCCCGGCAGCGAGGGAGTGAAGTATTTATGCTCAGGCTCATCAGTTACGGCTGCTCTGGTTCACCCTCCTGCCCTTCCTGTGCACAGGGGAGGCCAGAGACAGTCCTCAGGGGCCAGACAAGCGCATGTGCTGCAGTTAGAAGTCAGTGTGACGTGGTGAAGGCCAGGAGATATTGGCGGGGGGGTTGGCAGTCTGCTCCCCTATCTGAGTGCACAGCACCATGTCCTGCTGCCCACGCCAGAAACCTGGGGTTCTCCTAGACGGCTCCCCTTCTCTCACACTCCAGATCCAACCCATAATTGGGTTCTATTCTTTCACTTCTAATTATCTCTTGACTCCACCCATTTCTCCCTATCCCTTCCCCTGTGGAGGAGCCTGTCACTCCTGCCTGGACACTTGCAAGTCCTCCTATGGTCTGAACTCCACAGCCTGTCACTCAGCACTTATTTCCCCTGGCCTCTGCCAGCCTCTCCCAGCCCCCAGCCTTGTGCCACCACTCCAACACCCTGAACCTCTTACACTTCCCAGTCTCACCTCCAGGTCTTTCATTCGTTGCTCCCTCCTCCTCGCACCCCCTTTCCTATCCCTATTCCCACTGCATCCTCTGACTCACCCTCCTTCAGACCTCAGCTAAGAACTGGCACATAAGCTTCATCTCGTGTGCCAGCTCTAGTTAATTGATAGTGGCTCCCTGGAGTGCTGTGTTGAGAAGGATTCTGGAGCCCAGTCAGGCTTGGCAGGTGTGCTGAGGTTGATTAGCAATGTCTGCCCTGGGCGTGGGCAGGGGAAGTGGAACAGCGTGGTCCGCCCTTCCTCTGACTGTATCAGCAGCTTCCAGTTCATCCTTCCTCCATCACAGCACCTACCACTCTGTAGTAATTATCACATGTGTGTCTGTCTGTCCCACTAGACACTGAGTTCAGTGCCTACTCACCAGGGGGCCTGGCCCACAGATGATATGCTGCAAATTTTGTTGAACGATGGGTAGATACCATGAGCCGAAGCATGTACACATTTTACGTTCCCCACTCCTTCCCAGTCTCCATCACACAGAATCGAGGCCTCAGCATCCTCTCGGTAAACCCAATCTCTCCAAGCTGGCAACGAGCGATCACAGAAACGGTATTTTTGTCCTGTCCTGAGGTGTCTGGGTCATCAGCATCCAGCTCCCTGGTTGTCTGGGTCACTGTGCCCACAGCTCTAGAAAAGAGAATGTGAGCTGATGGCAGGGCCACCTGGGCCCCAGGCTCAGAAGCTCATTGCTGCCAAGGCTGTCTGCTAATCACCAAAGACCCAGGAGGCTGGATGGGTTGTCAGAACCCCCAATCATCAAGTCCGAAGGACAAACCAGGTCTGGATGTGGCTGTGAGCTAGGAGACAGGGCTTAATAAGCACTAGTGTTTGATGAGCCTTTG